TGTTCTAATGGTGTTTGTAAATAGGATCACAAGTCCGCATCTTGTACAGCAATTAACCACTAAGAAGAATATATGCAGTGTATTATTTGTTGAAAAATAAAAAAAAAATAAAAATAAACCTGACGTTAACGCCGCACAGCTTGACTGAACGATTCTTTTCACGGTCAGGGCCAAGCTTTCTGTTCATACCGACTTCAGTGAGCCAGAAGACAACGTGGGTCTTATTTAACGAAGCATTTGACACCCCAAGCAATGAAAAAGAAGGAAAAGAATCTGTGTACACTGCCCTTCTTAAAAGAAAAGTTGAAGTCTTACACTTTTTTAGATGGCTATTCTGCTCAGAGAGCCACCCCCAAGGAATGTGACAGAAAGGGCCCGAGGGTCCTCCAGGAGACGTTCACCGACAGAGCCCAGGTGCGAGCAGACCTCAGCCACAGAGTTCACAGCGAGCGAAGCAGTTTTCCTCAGATGCTGTGGATGAGCTGCCTCGGACACCGCTGAGAAACTCGGAGCGAGCTATGACGCACCCAACCCTCACACCCTTCCTTTTGCTATTAGTAATCTATTAACTAAATCTCTTAACAACTTGTCAAAGTCCAAGGCTTTGTGGCAACATCTTAAGGTAAGAAGTACTAAGAACGTGAGGCGTCACACAGCGACTCTCCAACAGGGAGAAAGCAGAGCTAGACGGGGGAGAGAGACTGAAGCAAAAACCTAGTGCTCATGACCAAGTCCTAGCCGAACTACCAATGCTTTGCTTTGCTGGAAGAAGAAAATTAACTGTTTCCCACAAGTGGGGACTGCTGTCACAGACACACAGAGCCATCAGCTGGAGTCAAGGAGATGCCAGCTTCCCCCTGGTCGTGCCTTAAGCCCTTGACTCAAGGCTCTAACTTCCAACGAACTGTTTTCTCTGAAGCTATGTTCACAGTGAAGCGTAGGCTGCACCATAAGAACTCAGGGCCATCCCCATCCTGCTCTCACTGCTCCGCACGGTCTGTAGCCTCGGCCTTTGGTCTCCAGGAGTCAGAGCCCAGGGGCTGAACCTCAGCACTGTGGGCCGGCCTCTCGGTTGGGGCTGGCCTGGGAGCCAGGCTTGACCCTGCAGTACCCGGCCTGCCTGGTCTAAGGACGTGACAGCAGGCAGCTGAACTGACTCCAGCCTACCTGCCACACCCAGGTGACAGGGGTCAAAGGTCACCGTGACAATTAAATCTATCAAAAGTTGCAAGTGCTCAGATTGACGAATGAATGTTGTATGCTCATATATTCGTTGTATCCTTATTGCTCATCTTTCAGAGTCAGCTTGATGAACTTCAAGGACATTGCTTTCCAACTGTCATAATCATTCCTTCATAAAAAAACAACCTCTAAAGTTACGTTGCTCAGCTATGAGGCTGACTTATGGCCCACTTACGTAGTCGCCGAACACACAAATCCTTCTCTCCAAGCTGTAAAGGCTTTGACCGGCAGCCCTGTCAGCAACATCCCTCCTAAGGAATCGATCGCCTAAAAGAGGATGCGTCTCAATAAATGTGCACTATTTTATTGTACTGTTCGGAAAGTTCGTAACTACCTGATACAAAAGTAAAAGAAAAAAATTACTCCAGTTACGAAACTTGCTTCTCCTTATGTAGCGAAACCAACCATTTCCTAGTTTCTTTCTCTCCTTGGTCCTCACAGACTGAGTTCCCCCCTGAGGAGAGGAACTTGGATTGCACCACGTGGCCCAGCAGCTGTGCTCAGCAAGGAAGAGCAAAGGATTGGGTGCATCCCCAGGCACGCTCAGGCTCTTCCTGGGAAGCAGCGGAGGGCCTGAGAGCCAGAGAGGGGGGCAATGCGTGGAGACCAGCCCGCTCCCGGGCGCTTCTCCCGTCTCTCTCTGTTCCACTAAACATTCTTTCCCCTTTAGCCACATTCTGGTTTTGTGCTTCAGGAAATATATCCAAGTATAATGCTGGTTTAATTACATGCCCGGGTCTGGGCTCAGGTGACTGCACTATTGGCAAGAGGCTTCATGTTTTGCAAATCAGAAGAAAAGGAGTCTGAGAGGCAGGCACGGTGGCCAGTGCCTGTGCGCCCAGCTACGGGCTGAACCTGGAGAAGCGACTGAACACAGAAGTTTGAGACCGGCCTGCCTGCGCCACACAGTGAGACTTTGTTTCAAAAAGTATTGTGGCAGTTGTTTTCAGTCATTTCCATAAAACTGCACAGAAAATGCTCCAGCAAGACTCCTAGGCCTATAAGTTATTTCTTTTAACAAAAAGATAAATATTACAGATTTATGATGCCGCTGTTCTATGTGGAGCCCTTCCACATGAAAAAATCACAGAGAAACTTCAAAACAGCCTTCTGTTACTGACCACCAAGTAAAGACAGCCCCAGGAAGACCATGAGATGCTGAGGGACCTACCCAAGATGACGTCTGTCCATCAGCAGGGAGTGGAACCAGGTCCAACGATGCCTGCTTCTGCACAACCCTGTTGCTCATCAAGAAGAGAGCGACCAGAGCCAGGCGTGGTGGGGCCCGCCTATAGTGCCAGCACTCTGGAGGCAGAGGCAGAAGGACCAGCCTGGGCTACCCGGTGAGCTCAAGGCCAGCCTGATTGCACAGTAAGACCCTGTCTCAAAAAGACAAAAATAAAATAAAACAACCAAAAAGAAGGGACTGCCAGCCTGTGGTGGGCGCTCCTCGTGCCACAGCTCTGCGTGGGAATGCTCAGAGGCCGCGGTCAGGTCTGCATGCTGTGTGGGTGAGCCGGGGCCCACAGAGGCAGCGCCCCGCAGTGAGCATGGCTGTCAGGCACTGGCTCCATCCTTGCCCAGCATGACGATTCGGCGCCAAATGTGGTGTGTCCACAGCTTGGCCTCAGGCACAGAACTCAGCCCCTAGAGTCGGAGGGGCTTGGTGACACTGGCCTAGTGTGCATGAGGCCCCAGGCTCAGCCCCAGTGCTGAAGAGCATCTAAAACTCAGCTTCCCTGGCCTCCCTCCTAGTGGCCTTCATCCCAGAATGACCATCACTGCCCCTTACATTTTGCAGGATTCCAACAGCTAGGGATTTT